TTTTGCCAACTCACGGAAATCTCGCAGAGCTCGCATTCTAGCCGCACTGGGGGAAGAGAAGCGGAAAACCAAACAATAACGACAACATAGGTGCGACATCATGAAAATATAAATTGGTAAAGAAGTGAAACTGAGCAGCCCGGAACGAATTCATATTCTATAAGTGACAAGCAGTCACCAGAGCTTGAACGAAGTGACACAGTCACCACTTTGCCGTTGAAGAACACATTGATGGGCTCACAAAGCAGACCGATTCGACGAGACAATTTGAGTTATGAAAGACAATCAATGCGGATATTTAAAGATGCTATACCTATTCTCGACAGGTCGAACAGACTCCTCGGCGAGAAAGACCCTCTTCGAGGTGGTTGTGTGCTCTTTGCCATCAACTACAAAACGTCGGGTGCGAATTGAGGCTCTAAACTGGTTGGGACATTTTCGTAGCTAAAGGAGAAAGGTGAAAAAAACAGTGTCAGCTGCCGAAGTGGAAGCCGAGCCTCCAAAGGCCAGACTTTAAGTTGAATGCTGGAATACCGACAAAAGGAAGACGTGGAAACGTGAAAAATGTTAAATCAGGATTGAGAGAAGAATAACAGCTCCAACAACTCAAAATTTAAAAGAACAAACCACAGAGACTATCGGTATAGGGGATTTCCTATTATGAGGCAACTGTTTCGCCTCATCCTCGTTCCTATAGGACTCGCCACTGTCGGCACTAGTTGTTGCCTCCTCTGGAGAGGTTATAGGTCGTTCCTGTGTCTCCAGTGGTGAATCCTCATCTTCCCCTTGGGAGACCTCCATTGCAAAATCTGGTAAACGAATAGGTGAAGAGGTCTCCGGACTCTTGACATCACCTTCAGACGATGCAACATTTCTCCCAAACGACGTATGCATCCATTCTGAGCTCTCTTTATCGGATTGCTGTAAGATGATACAGACAGTGAAATAATTCGTAATAAAGAAATTTTAACACCCACACCTTCTCATTCAATTTTTTTTGCAGAATTCAATTCACCATTTTGTGTAAAGAAAAGCAAAAATGAAACCCCTGAAG